CCCAGTTTTCTGTGTTAGAAGATCTTTTTTTAAAATTACATCTCATAGAATTTATATGCCATTCTCCTTTGTTTTATAGAGAGGAATGTTTCCTGAGTCTGTTTGGTGGGGGCTGGGGATGCTAGACGTGCCCTATGCGAGCCCATTGAGAAATTTATATAAACTGTAAATGAGACCACAAAAACTGCCAATACCTAGCAGGTTTCTGGCTAAGCCATTCAGCATGAATTCACTTTTTGTGAGAACACTCAAGTTATCTTCTTGTTTAGACAATTATTTCCCCAAACCTTTTCAGGGTGCTTGCTACATGCACAGCATTCTTCTAAATTCTGTAAAAATGCTTTTTAAGTACCTTATACTTTTGAAGCATTTCCTAGGAGTTCATGTGTGCACATTGTTTCATTCAATTCCCCTCAAACATGGAGACAGACAGTGAAGCTATTTTTATTCCAATAAAGTGCCGTTCCCAAAGTGTCAGGGCTAGGAAGATGCCGAGCTAGAGTTATAATTCAGGTCTTCTTATTCTTGAGTACAGTGGTTTTCTATAAGAAAGAAAGGTATGGGATAACATACATCTAAAATAAGCCAGGCACTTACCAGAAAACTTGCTGTACTTATGGAGAATGTTGATATCCAGTTCATTGAAGGTGTGAATACCAGTTAAAGAAATATTCCTCTTGGCTAAGAATGCATTATAGTGTCCTCTAACAGATAACATTTGTCAAACATTTACTGTGTGCCAAATACACTACTAGGAGCTTCACTTGCATTATCACATTGAAGCTGTGAGAGAAGCTCTGAGCAATAGAGCATTTTTTCCAAGTTCAAAACTTAATACGTGGCAGAGCAGGGGTTCATGCAATTCTGTGTCATCCTAAAACCTGTATACACTCTTTCAGCACCTTTTTTCTGCTGTCTTCCTCCATAGTCTCTTCCTATTTCCCTTCTAATTTCTGTAAGAGGAGAAAAAGAGGAAGAGGAGGAGCTATTGTCAGATACAGAGAAGGAAGGAAGCAAGCCATTCATCACTCACCCGATGACCATCAGCTGCCCTAGTGCCCAGCTCAGCTCTGGGAATGCCCAGAGGACCTCGGGGGTGACTTCCAAGAATGTCAAGTGGTAGTTCAGAGACAGAAACAGAGTACTAATGAAGCAAAACTAAACAGTAGCAGAACTCATGAAGAAAGACTTAAACAAGGAGGAGGCATCTGAGCTGTGTCTAACAGTATCTGTGCAGGCAAAGAAAGGAGAACAATCTGTAACAGACAGGCTGAATTATGAGAGGTATTCCTGTGTAGGAAGAAATGTGAGGTTAATGTCATAGAAGGACAGAATTCAGCATAGGAAGTAGAATCATGCTCTGAGGAGCCTTCTGTTAAAACAAGGAGATTAGACTTTTCCTCAAGGCAGCAAGAGTCAACAGACACTCAAAACAGCAAAGCTAACCATGCTTCCATTTTTAGGAAGTCTTAATTATCAGTCTTATGATGGGTGAGCAGGACATGTAGTCCAAGTGAATGCCAATAAAGAACTGGACTTGAGTGGAAGGATGACATTTCCTGTATTATTTCCAAATCATAAATAAAAGTTACAGTGATCTAGCAACTGCTCTAATGAACTTATGTGAACAAGAGATGTAAATGACTTAGAAGTGTCGCTGCTCCCACAGAGGGTGAACAGGGCCTCTTTCTTAAAGATCCCCCGCTTGTTCATCCATTCAACAGATGGTTACTGAGGCATGCCCTATGCTGGGTGCCCAGTGCTTGGAGAGATGTGTTACGGCACTGGTTGTGGGGACAGTTCTTTTCAAGCACCACATAACGCGATTTGTTCATAAAGCAAAAGGAAGCAGCAAAGAAAAAGGCAGGGTATAAAGCAAGTGTCAAAGAAAACAAGATAAGACAGAGTAACTCCTAAGAGAAAAAAGTGAAAATGAGCTTTAAGCTTAAGAAAGCAAACATCTGCTCTAAGTAACCATTTCATTAAAAGTGCACTAAATTGTGGAAGTTCTCTCCCAGGAACTGCATACTGTGGGTTGAGATTAAGTATAATGGGCTCCCACGTGAATTCTTCTCATTACTTCTCATGAAAATCAGTAAATCTCCTGAAAGGGTAATTTAGGTTTAGTGTTCACCATTCATTTTACTTTTAATCTTCTCTGTTTAGAATTGTAAAAATATAATGCAAAAATAATCCAAAAGAGGAGGAATAGGCCCCATGAGTTGAAATGAGACAATTTCAACTCCTCACATCATCTTGGCATTAATACATAAGTAATAGGCTGTAGACTTTTTATTCTTGATAGATGGTGATGGAGCTTCAGCCAGTTTCTAGAGTACTGTGTGCTGTTAATTGCAGGAACCAAGTAAAGGACAGGATAAGAAAGATAATCTATGCTTCACTCTCCTGAATTCTTTGGGCCTCTTTGTGATTTTCAGTGAAGTCTCTTCTTAATCTCATTAAACTTTTCTTTCACTATAATTTAACAAAAGGACAAAGGTTTCAAGACTTTTGTCCAGAACAAAAAGAAATCAATTATTTGGGAATAAAAATATCTGGAAAATAAAATTTAATCATAGAAATGTGATTTTATAAAATAATTTTGTCAAAAATACGAGCCTGAACAATGACTTATGATCATTACTTTTTCTACTGTTAAACTACCACCAGTCAGTTTGTGAAACTGAGAAGCAAGCAAGTAAAAACAAAACAAAACAAAAACCTCCAAGTGCAGTCTTTCAGAAGCGTTACTGCTGAGAAGAATAGTCCTCTATTCTTTACTGGACCTCTCCTTGGCTTTTCCATTAAGCATAGACTCTATTCTAGGTCCTTGGTATGCAAATTTATTTTTGACTAATTTAAGTGAGTACCCTATTAGGAGAGGAAATGCATGAGGAAAAGGATATTTCACACCTAAAATGGATCCATGCTATATAAAGTGGTAAACATATTTGAAGTCTTTTATACAGTATTATAGGTCTTTTCCAGGTGGTGCTTGTGATAAAGAACCTACCTGCCAATAAAGATAGATGTAAGAGACACGGGTTCAAGCCCTGGGTTGGGAAGATCCCCTGGAGGGGTTGCACAGCAACCCATCCAATATTCTTGCCTGGAGAATCCCATGGTCAGAGGAGCCTGGTCCCTAGAGTCACAGAGAGTTGGATAGGACTGAAGCGACTTAGCATGCACAAACAGTATTATATTATGTAGATGTGAGACTAAGCTATGGCTTATGATGGTTACAGTTTGCTTTTGTTTCCCCAAGAGAAATCAAAGGTTTTACTAAGTGTAAATTTCCTTTTCAGATTTGAAAGAAATGAGCACTTAGTCTGGTACACATGAGAAAATGAAATTTGAGTAACAATTTTATCTAAGGAAATGAAGAGTGGAGAACATTCACTGGACAAATATCACATTCCTTGAAATAATTATTGTGACATTTTAATGCATTCTCACCAAGAAGCATTCCCTTGTAAATGAATGAACCAGACCATGTATTAACAATTATTTCATGAGAGAAAACTTCAATACACTTAGAAACTCCTATCATAAGACTAATGGGAAGGAAAAAAAAAAAAAAGAAGTGAAATATTAGAAAGAAATGTCCTAAAACAGAATATACAGTTAATTGATTGATTTAAAGAGTGAGTGATAGTTGCTCAGTCATGCCTGACTCTTTGCAACCCTATGGACTGTAGCCTGCCAGGCTCCTCTGTTCATGGAATTCTCCAGGCAAGATTACTGGGGTTTGAGAGGTAAAAAATCCCAATGACTTCTCAGCCTGTTATGAATGCTAAGGGAAAAAAAATCCAGCAGATTTTCAGAAATTCCTCTCACTTTCATGAATTTTACATAGTCCATTTTCTTAAATACTCATCAGGACGCTGCCTTCTAAGGACAAACAAATCATTTTTAAAGATAATTCACCCATTCCATCAACAAATTAAAGATATCTAATCAGCAGTGCTTCTTCATGTCTTGCATTAGTCATTCTTTCAAGTGCCCATGAAAGAGGAGTGTTGAGTTTTTTGAAGATATCATTTCAAGCTGCATGCATGTACTCCCATTCCAGGGAATTGTTTTTAATTGCAACATGGAAAGTGAAGAGCATATTGGAGTTTTGCTATGTCATTCTCTGAAAAGAATACCTCATGAATTATAAATACCAGATCTTCATGAAAACAAGAAATCTATCTTTCCTGTTAAAGTAGATGAAAGACAAGATTAAGTAATGAAAGCTTATACCAGACATCCTAAAAGTGTAGGATAATCACTGATCCCATGAACTAGTACAACTAAAAAATAATCTCCTTGGTACTTATTGATCTCCTTGATACAACTGTTCTTCAACTATGTTCTAATCATTGTGCTCTCAACAAGGATTGGGTGTTTAGAGTCTTCTTCATGTTTTTTAATTGCTTTGATTAACAGAGATTTCAGGCTGACCCTACTCCTGATGATGGTGGTTGTGGAAGGAATAAATAAATCTCTGTTGAATGAAAATATATGGCTTTGGGACCAGCACTCTCACACCTAAGCACCACCTCATTTTGTTGCCTACAAAAGAAGCCATTCAATAAAGCCATGCAAGATAATCTTTTGACTACTGTTGTCTCATAATTACACGAGTTGTTATTCCTTTCAATACTGCTTTCTTGCCACAAAAATAAGCCTGTCTCTGAATAGCAAAGCAGTAATTTTTGTTCACTATTTTTCCTAAACTTTTAAAGATATGAATTTGTTTGTAAATATTTCTTAAATATTGTAGCTGCTAAATCATTATATGCAATATTAAATGTTTGAATGTGGTATTAGCAATTGTTAAAAACGTAGCTTCCATGTGTTCCTTAAAGTGGGGCATGTTTGATTTCTGAAATGTCGTCAGATAACTTGTAAGGCCAAAAATGGGCCCTTTGATTGAATATGCAAAGTTCCCCTTAAACCACCTTGAACTAGGCAGATTTGCAACATTTTAAACTGGCACTTCATCCCTCTTTCAGCAAGCATCCTCTGCAGATTTAATGATCAGGAACATCCTTCTGATGCATGCTGGGAGATATGGCTGCAGGGTACAGACCACAGCAGACAGTGTTTCAGATGAGGCAGAACTTCTTGTTAGGGGTGAGTATGCTAATAGTGCAGTCTGAAGACATGATCACCATAAACTATCATACAAAGGAACTGAAATGCATGGACTTTGAGCACAGCAGTACTGTGCATTTTACTTTCGATTTTACAATATATGTCTTTCTTGCTTAACCTCTTGCCTTTGAACCAATTATATGGTAACCTGCTCTTTAGAAACAGACAAAACCTACAGATCCAACTTCAGATTCCCAAACACCTTTAGCACTAGGTGGTTACTAAGTGTTTACCCAACTTAAGGCCAAAATGAATTTTTCTACAGTTGAGTCACAAAGACACTTGAACACTAGAGAAACAAAAATTTTGTGTGTATGTGTGTTTTTTTCCAAATGTAAAGCTATTGGAACCCCTAGGCATTTTTTCTCTCCACTAACTTCTAAATTCTGCTTCCTGAAACAGAAAAACTGCATGCCTAATATGGTGGCATTTGCAATTGTTAAGTGACAAGGATTGTTTAAAAGTCTGAAAATGTCAACATACAGTCTCTCTGCAGAAATGACAGTTAAGTGGCTTCCAACTATGAGCAAGGCTGCCAAATTCTACAACCCTATGAAGCCATATCTTATTTGAATTAAGTAAATGCCTACAGCACTAATTTCTTTCAGCGCATTATTCGCCAGTTTGGGAAATGCCACTCTAAGCATGCATTTTTCTCTTTTTCTTTCTTCCTTTCTTTCTTTTTCTCTCTCTCTTTCCCTTTCTTTCTCTGCCTCCTTCATTCCTTTATTTCTTCCCTCTTTCTCTTTTCTTTTTCCCCCCCTTTTTCTTTCTTTTCTTTTTTTTGTTTTTTAGGCAAATATAGTATATCTGCCTAAAAATACAAAAATATTTGTATAGATATACAGCTCAAAGAAAAAAAATCATAAAGTAATCACACCAAGAAATTGCTATTTAAGACAAGAGCTAGAATATTACCAGACTCTCACCTCTCCCTCTTTGGTCTCAAAAAAATCACATTTGACTGGTGTGACTACTGCATGCTAAGACCCTTTGCATGATCTCTACAAAGAAAAATTACACAATTCGTAACAAAAACTTATATCATACATTAACTTGTTTTATTCACTTGGAGTGTTTTCCAATCATAATTTTCAATAATTCATTAATATTATAAAAATCTTGAGCAGGAAATACAAGGCCTATGTAAGCTTCATCATCTGTTTTAGTTGTACGTGTCACCCAAGGTTTATTGATTTGGGGTAGTGCATCTACTATTGGTCCAAGTAAAACATTGTTTTGAAACAGATGTGTATCTGGGTGAGTGGCAGAATGCTCATTTTTTGCGTGTGTTTGTTTCTATTCCGAAGGTTATTTGAACTCGTCTCCAAATTTATAACAAGAATGTGTATCTGTATTACTCAATTACAAAACATCAGCTTTTTAAGGTGCTCATCCTCTCATGATATTTCATTTAGCTAAAATTTTTCCTTTATTCCTTTCAAGTTACAAGGCTTATGGAATGGCAAGCCACACACTGAAGTCAATTTTATAGAAAATTGCTTTATTCTCTCACTACAGTCAGTTTTAGATTATGTGTATTTATTGTGTAGCACTTGCCTAGTAATTTAGAATGATGCTCTTAAAATTGGAGCTTTCTAAATGAATAACACAATTTAGAGGCTGATAACAAGAAGCCAGGTATTTTTACAGGGCTGCGAGGGGCATATTTAAGTGGCAAAGTAACATTCTGCTTTGTAAGTAAAATTAAACTCAACAGCGTTTAGAATATAATTCAGGCTCGACTTTTTTGTGTTCTGTTCTTTTACCCTTTGGCTTTATGCCTAGGGGATGATAAAATGCAGAAATTTGGAATTACACTCAATAGCAATTTCAAACAGGTTGCTATTGTCTGAATATTCATGCAACATTCAGCTCAAGCTTTCATTTGAAGTGAGTTGTTTCAAGTCACCAATTTTCTATTATATACTTGTATTATTTTTCTAAAACTAGTAAAAATAGCTTGCCTCTTCTGCCTGGCTAGTCTCAGACAGATTTAAAAGTTGAAGTAAAGGTTCTGTTTTTTTTTTCTTTTTTCTTTCTGAAGCTTCCTGGTAATTGAAGGAACTCATATGCTTGAGTATTGCATCTCTTAATGTTGTAACATGAAACTCAAAATAGTTTTACCCTGTCTTCTTCTTTCTCCCACTCCTCCCACCATTGGGTTTGTAAACTTGGGGCCTTCTAATAGTTCGGGCCACAGGACCAAAGCTGAGCTTTCTAGATGAAGGTGTTCTAGTGATGGTTACAATTTAAGCAGCAGAATCCTTAAAGTACGCTTACTCGAGTATCATAAAATGAGAATGGTAAAGACAATTTTACCATACTTCGTATAGGATACCTTCATTGTATAGCTCATAGAATGCGGAACATTCTTAACTAGCAAGGGATATGATTTTATAACCCTGTAATTCTATTTCCATGGAGACAGGGGACTAAAGTCCATATTCTCCTAGATAACCTAGGAGATTGTCTCCTTTCCCATTAGAGACAGTCTATGACATTTTTTGGCACATCTCATCAAATCCTGCAATTCTTCACCCCACATGTGCACTAAATTTGGGCTCAGGTGTGTGGCCCCAAGACCTCATCAGTGCTTGTTTGGAATCTGAGCTTCCCCGACTAGAGCTGGTCCCTGCTTCTCTTCTCACGCACTGCTTGAAAGCTGTCTTTCCCCCAAATGCTTGTTTCCACTGTTGCTTTATTTTGCTTGTGAATGTCAGTGCTATTATTCACCTCTATTCCACCATCATTATCATCCTCCAAAAATTGAATTTTCTCATAAATAATCATCTGAAGCATAAAATTGCTTGCTCTCATATACTTAATATTCAGTGAACCAGCCTTATAACAGCACCATGCATAATTTGGAGACTCATAATAGAAGTAATGAACTTAAAATAAGTTATTTTGCCAGAATATAAAAAGAAATTAAAGCCACACCTGGACATCTGTGCACAATTTAAGTCACTTATTCAAGTGTGATACAGCAACAAGGGAGAAAGTAAATCTAGACAATGCTACAGGCAACCTCTTTAAAGATGGATAAAACTGTATTATATTCTCTATGGTAAAGGAGATAGACCATTAAGGGATAACCTCACTGAGGGGAATACACAATTTGTAAAGAACTGATACTCCCAAGCATTATGAGAGGTGACCAAACACAACATAAAACACAACAGAGAAAGAAGTGTTAGTTTTTTATTATTTTATTTTATTTTACAAAACTTTCAGAAATATGTTTCCCAAAGAGAATATAAAGGTAGGAAACTATCATGGTTTAAAAAATAAAATGCATTTAGCTAAACTAACTGGGAACCTGAGCCTGAGCTCTGTCTATTCTGCCCACAGGCAGAGAAAACAATAAAAAATGCACTTCTTCATACAAATTTTTATTCAGATTGCTCTGTTATTAATTAATGAAAAATAGTAGATCAAGAAACTCTTGGCATACATAGTCAAAGAACAATCCACAATCTCTTGGTTCTTTCTGAACGCACTGCCTGTATACCCTCTTTTCCCCAAACTTGAATGACAACTTTTATTCCCTGAATTACAATTTACAAGATAGATATGACATGTATTAAACTGAATTTGAGAAGAAAGAATCTACTTCAGGACACAATTTGTTGAGAAAAATCTGACTGCTTTTAACTATTCATTCCTCCTTCCATCTATCACTTCTGAGTCAACCTGGAGTTGAGAATGTCTTTCAATCTTACTTGCTTCAAACATCTCATCAGTTCAATTCCGTTTATTCTTTCCAATATTTTTCCTTGAATATTTTACCTTTAGTCTCTGCTGATCAACCTTGTCACTTTTTATTTCAAAACAGAAGCTATTAAGAATTTGTTGTGCCAATTAAATAAGTCACAGGCATCTGTTGATAATTTGCTATTTATTTACTCACTCACCCATTCATCTGGCACCTGCTCTGTAGCAAGCCCTGCTACAGAATAGAAACAGATGTAGATGCCAAGATCACAGCCCTCTGTGTGAGACCAAGTGGCTTTCTACCCTCTTGTCCGCTAGTGTGAGAACCACCTTTGGGAATGGGGTGAGAAACACCAAGGAAGAAAGCTCCCTAGATAACCTACCTCTTTTAGGGGAAATAATGAAATGCTATGAAAATCCATAGGCATAGCTATAGGACTGACTTCATAAGTTGTGGGTCCTGGTGCAAAATGAAAATGCAAAAGTTTGACAAGAATCTTAAGACAGTGACAGCAGAACATTAATCCAAGCATAGGCACCTTCTAGGGCAGCGACCTTGTGTGACGGCAGAAGGAATACACCATGAGGTCAGCCAGGCACAGCATCAAATTATGTATGAAGCTACAGGGACAAAAGGACTTCACAAAGGGGAGGGTCAGTTACAACAAAGTCATTTTAATGTGTTTGCTCATCTATAAAAATAGCATATTAAAGCCTCCTCAGAGGTTTCATCAGCTTTTTACACAAAAGATCATTTTCTATTATTCTACCTCAAGAGCCTTATGTTTTGAAAGATTTTGTTCGTTATGTTGAAGTAATCATTAATTCATATTTCTATTTAAATGTCCACTAAAATCTTTTACCATGAGGTAGCCAGTGTTACCAAACTAGATAATTTAACTCTAGCCAACAGAAAAACAAAGAAAAAGGATTTACATTTTAGCTAGTTGTGAAGTGTTATTTGTTTTGTTTTGTTTTCAAATAGTTGAAAATTAAAGATACCAGTTACCATCTGATGGAAACCAACTTGGAAACTTTGATTAAATACTCTCCAAATTCTCTCCAAGATATGCTGTTTAGTGACCCTCACCAGCAAGAGAGAAAAATTCTCAAGTTTTCTGCCTTTTGTCCTTGGAGAGATACAAGTACACACTATCACTTTTCCAAATACAAAAGGAAACTCAAGCTCAATGAAAATCTTGGACATATTTCTTATACATGTAGGTTTGACAATTAACCAGTATTAATGTTCTCTGTCTTTA